GCATCTATGTAACATATGTATTACCTTCTCTCCTGGGCATCTAGGATGGGACTGACACAGACCACCCTCAGGAAAATTAAGAAAAGCATCATTTGCCTGGCCAGTGTGGCTCAGTGATTGAGCACCACCCTATGAACTAGGAGGTACAGTTCCATTCCCAATCAGGACACATGCCCAGGGTTGCAGACTTGATCCCCTGTAGTGGGTGTGCAGGAGGCAGCTGATCAATGATTCTTTCTCATCATTGATGTTTCTATCTCCCTCTCTGTCTCCCTTCCTCTCTAATATCATTAAAAATATCTTTAAAAAAAGAAAAGCATTATTCAAATACTCTTCCATGTTCTGTGACTGAGTCCCCACTGGCAACGCCCTTGCTGGCCACGAATCACCATCTAAGCCACCTGGTTACAGCAGCACCCACTTTCTATACCAATAAAGAAAACCTAAGCTATGCTGTGGCAACACACCTCTTGGAGACATCCCTACCTTATCATGATAAAGGTTTATTTCTTGCCCCCAATACAGCTGGTAACACAGGTCAGCAAGGGAACTCTACTCGTCACTCAGGAACCCAGGCGGATGGGGAAGAGGAGATGCCAGGCCTAACTTCCAAAGCAGGGGAGCAGCACCCAGAAGAGGACGGAGTGCCTGGGAACAGCCCGCATGACCACTGTACAAGGTTACGCCTGGGCCCCGGTAGCCATCGGATGCAACGCTGCATGTTAACAGCAAAGAAAAGGCAAGGCCACGGCTTCTCCGTTTTATAGTCACTGCCTCTTTGTTCCCACTGATCTTCAAATCAACAAAATCTATACCGTTCCCCCACTGTCTTTTTTGACCAAACTTTTTCATTCTTTATATTTTAAAAAAATGAAGTTAATATACACGCAGGAAAGTGCACAAATCCTGAGGATACAGCCTGATGAGTTACCATAAAGTGAACATGGCAGTGTAGCCACCTCAAGGCTAAGAAATGGATGGTCATCGGGCACTCAGCAACCCCTCAGGCTCCCTCCCAGCCATCTCTTCCCCCTTTCCTAACGGTAACACTCTCCTGATTTCCAACATCACGCTTCAATTATTTTTTTACGCACATGCATTCAACTAGCAGGTATCAGCCAGGCAGCACTAGACTTCCCAGCCCTGGCAGGTGGTGTGACAAACCCAAGCACAGGAGCCGATCTCTGTGAGCTGCCCGGAGGAAGACTGGCTTTCGGGGTGGGGGGTGGGGGTGGGGTAACACGTTTTGGACAGGGTTGGGCCATGAGCTCTCTGAACTCTCAGGGACTCAACCAATTTAGTGAATATTATCTTTATTACCTGTTTACTTGCGCACATTCCTTATTTCATACCAGGGCAGATGCCATCATAGCCAGAATCGCTGCCGCCTGACAGATGACGAATAAGTGACCCGCCCAGTCGCCACTGGGTCTCCCACAGCCAACCTTTCCAGCGTTGAACGCAAGTTGTTTTCTCTCTCCCTTTTGTATAGCCTCGCCCTTCCAGGTGGGTCTAGGGCTGGGTTAACTGGTTGGGGAATGAGGAACAAGTGAAATTTATTTTGGCCCAAATGCAAGATTGGCGTTTGGTTTTAGGGATATTCCTATGCAGCTTCCATGATCTGAAAATTAGGAATATAGTTCCCATTTTCTTGCCTATTACCTGATCAAAGGCCTTCATGGAGAGACAGTGGGCAGTTGGTTTCCTAAAATGCCGGCTTCTCCGCAAATGTCTTCAAAATCAGACACATCAGTGCAGGCATGCGCCCATAAACATGGTGCTTTGCTTTCCTGCCTCTATACAGTCCCTGCTGGCATTCGGGCCCCATGTCCTGGGACACCATTAGCAGTGCTAAGTCCATCTGTCACATTGAAGGGCTGACCGTCACCGCCCGCCCCCCCCACCCCCCGGAAATGGCCAGGGACTCTGGTGGGTGGGCAGAGTGTGTGCAGCTCTGGAACACTGTGGCCAACCACTCAGCCACATCCTTTGTGGTCATCATCTTCAGCAAGATGTGCCTTAAATATACTTTTATAGTCAGCTGGCTTCCAAATGACAGCCATGCTAAGTAAGCACGGAGTTACCATATGATTAGTAATTTCCTTATGGCACAAAGGAGAACGAAATAGTCTCTGGCTAAGGCCGGGGCTTTAAAAAAACCCAAAACTGCACTTTCAGTAAAAAAAAAATAGAAAACTGTCTTTATTCCAAAGCCAGAGCAACAGGTCACAGCCTTCTTCCTGTGCAGGAACATTGCTGCTTCACAAGGAAGTGGGGAAGGAAAAGATTAACAGGAAAATATTCCCAGAGCTGACTGCCTGCTCAGCTGCTGTCACTCATGCACTGAGCTGCCCCCACCTCCCTCCCCCATAAACACACACAGATGGATCCGTGGCAGCAGGTTCCCGGCCTTTTAGAAATGACTTCTCCAGGCCCCACCCTGCCTACCTTGTTTAGAAAAGAACTTAAGGGTAGTGTTCTCATAATTCAGGAGTAATAAAATTCTCAGTGTGCACCAAAGGTCACAGTGAGAAACACCAGGGATGCTCCTTAGATTCCCAGACCTAAAGAAGCAGATCTGCGGGGTGGGGCCCGGAATTTGTATGCCCACCAGCTCCCTCCGGAGACACCTATGCATGCTGTGAAGGGGGAAGCTCACACCAAGTATCACAGAAATAAAGGTATCTCCGCTTGCAACAGGCTTCCCCCTCAAAGGGACCCATGAGCATTTAAAGAAAGATTACGGCTCGTCTGTTCATTATTTCCCTTGAGGGGAAAATTGCAGTTTTCTTACCTGATTCTGTCTGCAAGCGTTATCACATATCTGCAGTATTTCAGTGTTATATAAGTCAGGGGTAAAACTGTGCTCATGGGAGTATCTAAAAATTACTGGCAGGGACCCAACATGTCATTTATTGTGGGGATAGTGCTAGATAGTTCCCATTGCTCTATTCCTTTAGTCTTGGGGTGGACTCTGGCCTTCAGCTTTTTTTTTTTTTTTAAACCCTCACCTGAAGATATGTTTATTGATTTTAGAGAGGGTGGGGAAACATCAGTGTGAGAGAGAAATGTTGACTGGTTGCCGCCTGTACCCACCTCAACTGGGGATCGAACCCACAACTTAGGTAAGTGCCCTGACTGGGAATTGAACCTGCAACCCCTTGGTGCATGGGACGACACTCCAACCAACTAAGCTACCCAGCCAGGGCTGGCCTTCAACTTCTTAACTTCCAGGGCCAGGGTGTCTGGAAAACTGGCTTTTCCGTAAAGCTGGAAAATAAAATCAGGTCTCTCCAGCCCTCTGCCAGCCTCTCTTGGGGACCTTGCCCAAGCGTCCCCCCACAAACCCCTTTCTGTATTTGTGCCTCAATAAATTGCAGCTGTGCCAACGGGGAGACTCAGGCTGGTTAATACAGTGTGCCAAGATCCCAAGATAAAAAGCATTCAAAGTGCCCAGTGTTAGCAGAGCAAACAAGGCCCAAGGCAGCAGACAGGCAGCAGACATTACCCAGCAGCTAGATGTGTACTGAAGACCTCACTCCGCGGCAAAACAAGCACTCGTTTTCTTTTTGCAAAATTTAGCACAAGAAGCCTGAAATGCAGCACGCAGATGTAGGAATTCATTTTCTCCGACAAAATCGCCTTCCTTTCTCAAATGCAACAGAGAAAATTCTCAGGATCACAAACCACCTGAGATACAGCCCTCCTTGCTCAAAAGGCAGGCCAGGCCGTTAAGAGGCAGGAAACTCACAGCCCCACTTTTCTTCAAACACACTCTCCTGCTTTAATTTGCTGTGCGACTTCAGATCTGACGGAACTTGGCCTTAAATAACTATCTGAACCGAAGTTTAGCCCAAATCCCAGAGCTGGCGGATCTGTCCCAGGAGGGAAAGAGATGCTTGTGACCCCGGCACCTGTGGCCTCATTTTCATGCTGCATGAAAAAGAACGGCCCTTCTGCCCAGAGGCCCTGGCGTGAACTGAGCCGTCCCTGTTACTGCCCCGCGTTGGCCTGAATTGCCAGCAATGTTTCTCCAGCGCCTCCAAAATTCTTCTCTTCAAAGTGCCAACGCCTGAGCTCGTGAAAACAGGCTGTCCAGTGCAAGCACTGTGATGACACACACCTGTTGGAAAACTCTAGTCTCTGGCCTTATTCTTGAGCTCAGTGATGAATGAACAAAAAAAAGGAAGGAGAGGAAGAAGGAAAATGAAGGTTGAAGAAAAGCCTCAGTGATCTTTTTGCGATGCACCTGGCTCTCACAATGACCTGGGTTAAAAACCCACCACCAGCCACTCTGCCCAAACACCTCGTGTGCATTCTGGCCACCGCGCCTCTTCATTCTAATCCAGTGGTTCTCAACCTTCTGGCCCTTTAAATACAGTTCCTCATGTTGTGACCCAACCATAAAATTATTTTCGTTGCTACTTCATAACTGTAATGTTGCTACTGTTATGAATCGTAAAGTAAATATCTGATATGCAGGATGGTCTTAGGCGACCCCTGTGAAAGGGTCGTTCGACCGCCAAAGGGGTCGCGACCCACAGGTTGAGAACCGCTGTTCTAATCAGATGGACTTTTTAGAAAGGACTTGGAAACAGGTGCTGCCGAGCCATCAGCTGTCTGAAATAAAAAGCCCGCCTGGCTCCGTCTCTCCTTTCCTATCATCACGGGTTTCCACCAGCACCGGCAGGTGCACCCGGACTCGGAACCAAGGTGTGCTGCTTCTGCACGTGAGAAGAGCGAGCTCACCGGCTCCCCTCGGAGATTACCTGTCTGGTGAACTGCTTGCCTAACAAGGTCTTAAATTTCAGACTCGTGATGTGCAACCTGAGTGCTGAGCAGAGCTGTGGAGCTCTCAGAAGGTGTCTTCTGTTGTTGGAGTGCACGACCGGCGGGCCGGGCGCTCGGCCTCCCCGTGCAATCCGTCAGCTGGTGCTGCCACTGCTGCAAGTCAATAGCATCGGGCACACAGCTGTCAGAGATGAAGCAGGGACAAGCAGAGAGCTTAATGAAATTTTATTTTGAAAATATGGCAAGAGTCTAAGGCACTTCAAACATTTAAATACATATAAGACCATGGTAAGTGTGACATGGTATAAAGGAATCCATAAATACGTGGAGAACTACGCCATGTTCCTCTAGAGGCGAATATATAGCCAATTCCTCTAACACAATTCAACCTTTATCATCAGGTCATAGAGTTGTGCAATTATTAATAAAAAAATATGGTACTGTTACATGTAGTTCTTCATGTCTTTTATTACCATGGAATATAAAAGTTGAAAATACTGTGTCACTTTCATATAGATACCTTTTATATAAAAAGTCATATAATACATCCACCGAGATAAAACCAACTGAAAAGATTTCCTTTTGTACGTGTTATACTTTTTTAAGAGTTCCGTCTTTTCATTTTAACCCAGAAACCTACCAGCCCAGGCCCAAGTTGCTGATGACCAAAGTCACCTCAACTTGCTTTAGAATAATACAGACAAAAAAAAAATCAACAAAACCATCCTGGAATGGAATTTCTGAAGAGCTTTCCAATCGTCCCACGCCAGTCAATATAAACACTGGAGGAGAAATTGGAAACACTGTGCCAGTGAGAACCTGACACTCTCAGCAGGGGTGGTGGGGGCGGGTGGAGAGAAGGCGCAGAAGTTGCCCGCTCAGGTCAGGTGACAGTTTCCTACGACTGTTCATAACGGAGCAGAGACTCAACAGCGACAGCGACTGGGGTCAAGTGTGCCCTCCAAAGAGGGAAGATGGCCGGGAGGGAGGTGGTGGGTGCCTGCCGGCAATCTCTCGCTGGCTCAGCTTCCACTGTGACAGCTCCAGCCTTCGGTCCTTGGCCTTTTGTGTCCTGTTTGCTGGTGAGCTCAGGCACAATATGCATACATTCAGTATCTGTCACCCCAACAGGAACAGTTAGCAGCTTAATGGTGGCATGTAAATGGATGGCTATTTGTACATAAATCAATCAAAAGAACCTCGGTGGGTGGGACCAGGAGATGTCTTCCTTCCAAGCCGAGGGGTGCCCTAGAGACCAGGATAGGAAAAAAATGGGGGTTAGTATGTGACCTCAGGTAGGTGTGTCCTCTGTGACATAGGAACTCGGTCCACCAGAGCTGACAACCACTGGTGAGCCAGAGCCAGAGCAGGAGCTGGAACACAGAACACAGGTCCGCCAGCAGGAGGCGCTCAGGAGCCAGCTGAGCTCAGCAGTGCTGTGACCAGCTGTCTCTGGGAAGTCGACTTCCTGCTAAGAGTGGATTCTGGGACCACAGGTTGCTATTCACACTATCTGCATTACAAGAAATGGTGGGAACATGGCGATATGTGTTAGCTGGCTGGGGATGTGCCATTTGAATAATTCCGCCCAGAATAAGTCCTTCATGTGAGGGTGTGAGAGTGTGTGTCCCCTGAGGACAAGCAGGGGTCCCTTCTCCGCTGTGCTAACCACTCCTGGCCTTTCGGTTTGGGGTAAAAGTGATGGACTCTTAAGTTCCAGATTAAGACTTCCATTTTTAGAATCTTCAGAAAACCTGTGCCTCCTGTCAACTCCCAGAGGAAGGGGCCCACCTGTCTGGTGGATTTCAGCCTCCTAACAAATGCCAAACGCACAACACTGACCGGAGACTGGGCTTTGGCGAAGTTGACGTGGGCATAGAGGAGGACGGCGATGTCCTTGTGTCCTGCTTCCAGAGCGATGGAAAGCGCGGTGCTGCCATCCTTAAAGATGAAAAGAACGAGCCAGGTTGGATTTCTCAGACGTCCAGACGGCCAGAGGTAACAAAACAAAACACCCTCCAGTAACTGGCATGGTCCCCCAAATCTAGCCATTGGTTCAGTCCTTTAAAAGGGAACTTTTCTGGACCTCGACGTGCTAAGCTCTACGAATACAAGGACGAATGAGGCACAGGCCGCACTCTAAGGAAATCACAGTCAACAGGACCGTCACCCGTTCCCCTGTCTTGGCCTCACAGTGGTTAGTGTACAGGCCTGCACACTGTGGGCCCTGGACAATGCAGGCTGCCCATGGAGAAGTCTCATTCAACCACTGTGCCCACCAGCGGGGGACAGTAGGAGATGGAGGTAGAAACGTATTTTAATTTTTCCCCCCTTGTAATTACAAATGAGTAGCAGGCATGTACCATGGTGTATGTGTTGACATCTTGCCTAAGGTCTCTTAATTTTCCTCTTGGGGAGAGAGCTGGTCCTGCATCCCTAACCACCCTGTGGGATGTGTGAGTAACATCAATGCAGAAGCACTGAATCCTGCTGGCTTGCAGCCATGTATCTTATGGGGTCCTGGCTGTGTGGCTCAAGTGGTTAGAGTGACATCCAGGTATGCCAAGATTGCAGGTTTGATTCCTGGTCAGGGCACATACAAGAATCAACCAATGAACGCACAAATAAGTGGAATAACAAGTTGATGGCTCTCTCTCTCTCTCTCTCTCTCTCTCTCTCTCTCTTTCCCTCAATCCCTCCCTCCCCTCTTCAAAAGTAATTTTTAAAAAAGAAATGTATCTTATGGAAATATGTGGAAAACACTACATATGGGAAAGAAAAATTATCAGTAAAATGTTTGGTTTCTATTAAAACTGCAGGGATTTACATGGATATAAAAGAGCATCAAGGCAAAAAACACCACAACTTAGTTTCTGTCTAGGATTGGAATAAAGATGCCTCCCACTTCCTTAAGGATGAGGAAGTAGACGATTAGCTGGTGACCTGGATGTCTGGAAGGCACTGTGGCTCTAGGGCAGGGGTGGGCAAACTTTGTGACTCGAGGGCCACAATGGGTTCTTAAACTGGACCGGAGGGCCGGAACAAAAGCATGGATGGAGTGTTTGTGTGAACTAATATAAATTCAAAGTAAACATCATTACATAAAAGGGTACGGTCTTTTTTTTTTTTTTTTAGTTTTATTCATTTCAAACAGGCCAAATCCGGCCCGCGGGCCGTAGTTTGCCCACGGCTGGGCTAGGGCCTCGTATTACTACATCCACAAGCCGTTCTTTGCTGAAAGAGAGTAGAAGCAAAAGCCAACCAACAAAAACCAAGACACACGGAACACAGTGTTCTTGAGGGAACAGGTTGGAAACGCTCCCTCTGCTCGGGCGGAGGTGAGGGAATGAGGCGGGACTGCGGTTCCGCTCCTGTGCAGCCACCGCGCCTGCAAATCCCCGCACTGACTGCTCTTCCTGCTGCCTGGGGCCCACCGGGACCTGAGGTTCAGTGCGAAGAAGGATGTTTTTTTCCCTCTCACTTTTTAGTGTTTCCAGTTAGAGGAAGCCAACCTGTGCTCCACAGAGATAAACTTTTCAAAACAGAGCCCACCCAGCCCGACCTCTATGACCTCTGGCCCTTTCAACCCTGTCACCACCCACATGTTAGTTCCTATGAGAGAAGCAGCTTTCCTTAGGAGGCTCCCAGTCAAGGGTTATCTGGGAGTGGGGACAGCTTAGCACCTGCGAGAGGAGATTAGAACGGTGATGATGGACCAGCCCAAGCAGGAATGGAAAGATGTGAAGGGAGCCAAGACTGGCCAGCTCCCCCGGCTGATGCAACGTCACTCCCGTGGGCCCTGGTGACGGGCACACCTGCCTTTACTTCATTTCCCTGGGAAAGTGTTTCACTATAGTAATATCGGTTCTAGTCACCCAATAACCCCAACTGGTAGTGGCTGGCAATCCGGATTTCCAACCGGGCCGGGGACCTGGTCCTCTCAGTGGACTTAGAAGTGCCTACGTCTGATTCTGTATGTAAATCTGTTCATTCCCCTTTAATAGGCTGGTTCTCGTGCCTGCCCAGCACCTCCTTCCTTTAGTAAATTTGGGGGTGAGGTCCATTTATCACTCAGCCTTTGGCTTTAGTTAATGGAGTATTAGTTGGCACACAATAAATGCTGCCAAGCTGGGCCATGAAGCGAGGTGGCCTGGGTGGCAACACAAATCCTCAAGGAGAATCAAGGAGGATTTGTTTTCTGCCCCTGGCCAAGCAGCACTCACAGAGCTCCCCCCCGCCCCGTGGCCTTGTGGGCCCCCGGCCCCAGGGAGACGCTCACGTTGTCCTCCAGATGGCCGTTGCAGCCGGGCTGGGCCAGCAGCAGCTTGACGATCTCCACGTGCCCGTGCTCGCTGGCACACATCAGGGCGGTGGAACCCTCGTCGTCCTGGATGTTCACGTCAGCACCGAAGGCCAGCAGGCCCTTCACCATGTCTATCCGCCCATGGCTGACCGCCAGCATGAGGGCTGTCTGTCCTCCTGCGCAGAGAAATGGCAGTGAACTTCAGAAGTGCATACCGGGCCGGCAGGGTATGGCCTATGGCGGGGGGGGGGGCCTGCGCTGGGGGTGAGGAGCGGGGGGGTGGGGGGGGTGGTGGAGTGGGGGAGAGGAGGGAGTGTGGTGACAGAGGGGAAAAAATGGATGTGGAAGCATGCGGGTGGAGGCAGGCATGGAGCAATCAGCTTCTCATGAGCGATGAGCTAAGTTAATATGTTAGATCATAACGTATCGAGTCACTTTTCCCCTTTAGCTTGGAGGCTCTGTCTCATTATATCAAGGAGCTGGAAAGTCAGAAGATGGTTAACCATGTCAAACTATGAACACATCTGAACTAGGGGCACCGGCATGCAGACACTAGTCACCTGGTCGATGCAGGGACTCGCAGTCACCGATATGCAGGCTGACCTACAGTTTACGTGCACACGGCTCCAAACAGAGGCAAAGGACGGAGAAGTTTCCAATGGGAAGTTTAGGCCAGTATTTCATTGTGCGCTTGTTTGTCCAGCGGTCGTCTAGGGCTGCCAGATGGCCAGGTGGACTCAGGGCTGGGCCAGTGAGTGAGTGCCAGTGGTGGGAGGGGGTGTGGGAAGCCGTGCAGGTCAGAGCTGTGCTAGCAAGCACGGACACGAACGAGCCTGGGAAGAAAGTGCGCTCACCTGGCTAGCTTTGGCGTTCACATCCCCACAGCCGAAGAGTTCTTCCACCACCCGCATGTCCTTCTCCGCTTCCACGGCGGCCAGGGCTGCCAGCATGATGGGGGTGTAGCCCGCCTTGTTCTGGTGATCCACGTTGCACACGTCTGCAGCGACAGGAGTCTTGTTTAGGGATAACTCATCTCCTAATAGGAACTGAAGGCATGGTGTTTGGAAGAACCCAATGACATGGCCTCAGGAGGTCCAAGGTCAGGAGTGACTTGGAAGGAAATGCGAGGGGTGTTTTTATATCACACAAAAAAATTATTACTTTTATTTCATGAGGCCAGGAGCTACAATGAGCTTTCAGAACATGTCTTGTTTGCGACTGGCGGCCGAACTGGAATCGCATGGCTGTCCGGGAGGTTATTCTAAGGAATGGTTGCTGTGAAGGATATACAATAATGTGGCAACTGGACATTGATCTGTGTTTAGGAAATCACTGTTGTGGAGTGAAGAAGGCAGTGAGAGCTACAAGTGACAAGGATCTGTAAAGGCTTGTGTACGGAATCTGAATCTGAAACCACGACTCATTCTGCGGCCCAGGCTTTACTCATCAGACGAGTGTGCGGCCCTTAGAAGCAGAATTTCAATCACTCGACACCTACTCCGGGAATTGTGGTCTGAGAGCAAATGCAGTCAAGTCCCAAACTGCCAGGGACTAAGAGACCCTATAAACCAGACCTTCCCTATTCCTATAATTACTAAGAGGTCTTCTGGGGCGACGTTATCCTCCAGGCCTTTTAAATTCCTTCCGCACTAATAAAATGAAAGGAATGGAGGATGCAGGAAAGGCACTTGTGTGTGACCAAATGCAGTTAAAATGTTAGGCTGTTTCCATCACAGGGAGGAGGTACCATGAGAACGTTCCCTGAGTTCTGAAACAACTGTACACCAGGGACATCTGGCATCGACAATAGTGCATATTTTTTAATGTAGGAAAGAAAGGAAAAGGCTGTGTGATGGAGAAGCGGGTGAGCAAACGTGCTCTGCGAGGCTCCTCAGCATCTGTGACGTTCAGTTCAAACACACTTTATGGAGCCACAATCTCTGCCTATAATGGTGATCGGTCAAAACGAAATCCAGCCCAGCCGGTGTGGTTCAGTGGTTGAGCGTCAACCCATGAACCCAGAGGTCACTGGTTTGATTCCTGGTCACATGCCCAGGTTGAGGGCTGCATCCCTAGTAGGGGGCCTGCAGGAGGCAGCTGATCGATGATTCTATCCTTTTCCCTCCTCTTTCTCTAAAATCAATAAAAACATATATATATCAGAAAAGTGATTAACCAAAGGCATCCAACAATGGAATTAACTAAAATCATTTAATTTACCAAAATATCTTGTCCGCACAAAATATCCAAGGCTAGGTTGAATCATCACTTTCAGGAGTAATCCTGTTTTTTGCTTTCCTGGATATTATCCACTTCTCTGTTTAAACAATAACTAGGGCTGACAGTATCACCAGCTCTGTTTACGGTCTGGAAAGCCTGAAGGGAAGGTGGCTTGGAATTCCTTCCTGAAACCCGGAAGCAGTTGTATCCTAACATGGCCCCTACGCCGGGAACAAGCAAGCTTAGAAGAGAAAAGTGGACAAATCTGCCTGGTTTCTTCCCTGCATTAATCCAACATCCACAAAACAGAGCAGAAGAAGTTGGGCTGCTGGGTCAAGCAGCAGCATAGGAAAACCAGGCAGCTTTACAGTCATTTTCTAAATCAGCTGTCCACACTGTGTGTCCATTAACGACACCGAGGCACCGTGAACTCTGTCAGCCACATCACACAAGTGGAAATCGGGATTTCAAAAATAAATCAAAATGAGCCTGGGGGGCAGGGGGCAGGAGGACTGGGTGGCGGGGGACAAAATGGGGGGGAATCTGCAATAGTGTCAACAATAAAATAAATAAATAATAAACAGATACATCAAAATGCTTTGGGAACTATATGTACCACTGGGCTGCTCCGTTTGAATAACAAGTTGAAAGCTCAGCATTCCTCAAAGGGGACCCTTCTATGTAGCAGCACCCCCTCGCTTCCTCTCTAGTACATCCATTGGCAATAGTCTGAGATGGCAAGTTCCAGTTATAAACCAGAATCTCCACAATTCTCACGACTATGGTTCAGATTCAGGAGTAACACTTCCTTCGCTCTATGCTGATTTTCCAATAACTGGGTGTATTTTGGCGGAAACGCGGATGATTCTACCTAATCTATCACAGTGCCTTTGCTTGGTCCCCACACACCTCCCTGAGCCAGTTGGCTGGAGGTCGTGGAGCAAGGCCAGAGGGAGCAGCCCAGCCTCCTGGGAGCCAACCCGCTGCCCTTGCACAACTCCAGCAGCGGGAACTGCTGCCCAGGGATGCCTTTCTCTCACCATATACTCCAAACCTCCGCTCGACACCGAATCTGGAGTCCGTCACCCTGTTTCGTTTCCGCGCCACGCCTCCCACGCGTTCGTTTCCGCGCCACGCCTCCCACGTGGAGGAGAAATGGGGAGGATTGCAGGGTGGCACAGCATGGAGGCGCTGACCAAGCACCCCGGGCGGGCGCCTTGAGAGAGGAGCCCGTGGCCACGTACCCGCGTCCAGGAGCAGCTTGACGATCTCGAAGTTGGAGTGCGACACGCTGTAGTGCAGGGCCGTGTTGCCGTTGCCGTCTGCCATGTTGATGACATGGCGCAGGACCTCGGGGGACACGGCCGCGAAGGCCGCCAGGTAGTCCCCCACCATGGCCGGGACCGCCGACTTCTGGCTGGACACGCGGAACCACTCGTGCTGCAGGGTGTTCAGGCAGAACCGCTGCCAAAACACCAGGCGAGGCTGTTAGTGCTTCTATTTATAGGCTCCCTGGGACCCAGCTGGAAGCCCAAGGAACCAGCCTTGTATGGCCAAAGCCCATGCCGTTAGCACTGGCTGCAGAAACAGCAGCGAAACCCAGAGCCCCGAGAGAGGCCTCAACTTCCACATGGGTCATCCCTCCTGATTCTAAACTCAAACATATTCTGACTTCTCTAAGGGGCCACAGAGCCCTGTACGAGAGTTCACATTCTGGCTCTGCTCCTTAGGGGCTGTTTCAGACCCTGGGGAAGACACTCATCCTGTGCCTCAGTGTCCTCATCTGCAAAATGGGGACAATAAACATACCTTCCCCCCACAGTGTTGGTGGCGAGAATGCCTGAAGCAATACATGTAAAACTCTGAGGCCTGGCTCTAGTTATTACGGAACTATGAACATTATGCAGTTATGCTGGCCGTGCAAATGACTTTCATAGTAATTGGGACAGAAGGAATTACTTAACCCACACTTAATTATGCTGCTCAGCTCCTTCAACATCTCCACAACGTGAGGTTGGGAGACCATAAGCACGTAGCCAGCTCAATCCCCACGCCAATATTAAAGACATGTTCAGTCATGGAAAGGGAGGAAAAAGCAGATCTGGGACAAATTACATTTCCCAGGAGGATCATCTGCTTTTGGTCATCAGCCCCACTCGCGTCCCCGCTTTGGGTGTGGACACATGACATGTTCTTCATGGATGAGCAGGTCAAACTTGCACCGCATGAAGTTCAAGGTAGATGGATCAGAGCCAATGCTGGTGATGGGGATAACTACACTTTTTTCACGGGCCCTCTTTCATATGAGTGTGCCATTCATCTGTGCTTTGCTTCTCTTTACAAGATTAAAAATATATCAAAGAAAGATGGAAAGTCTATGTCAAAAGAAACAGAATCCAAGAAGTCCTCTTTCTATAGGAAGGTTGAGATTGTAGAGCTTCCATCTCTATCTTCTTGCCACTGATGATTCAGTTTTAGCCCATTAACCATATTTCTGGTCACTCATTGAAAGGGGTCCTGGCCAAGAGAGAATTCTTCTATTTTTTTTTCTATTTTTCTGCTCCCGCTTTTTCCTTTTTTTCCCCCCTCCCTCTTTTACATATTCAGATTTCTATTTCCTTGGCATTATAACACGGAAGGAAGGGGAATTATGTCCTCTGGTTATCCTAGCTCTGTTACTGCTAAATATCCAGTGTCCTATAGGGTTATATGGCCCCTGACATTGTGGCCATTCACATGTCCACTACTTTTCACAGCACAATACTTTAAACACTTTTGCACTAAAGAAATATTCAATGAACAAAAATGTACTGATCACGGAATGTGTGCCTGACACTATGCTTGGCAATCTGGGGTCATAGAAATGTGAAAACTTCCCGGAAGTCCACATGGCCTAGTAGCTGAGCCAGATTAAAGAAAAAATATATTATGGCTAAAAAATCAGGGGCCTGAAAGCACCAGTTTTAAGATCAATTTAAACGTAGTGGGAAATAGTAACACTGTAGTGATGTTTCATGGTTTCGCTATTTGTGACAAAGGTTCAGACCGGCATTTCGTGCATCACTGATAGAGTTCAGCATGTAGTCGATGTCCGCCCCTTGGCCAGGAATTTTATGGAGTATTTCCTTCCGTAAACATCACTGCCACACTCCTTTCAGGACACTGACTGAATGTCAGGACTTGGCTGGCTCTGATGAAGTTTAAGTCTCCGTAGCAGCATACACAAATATGAGATAACACCATCCTTTTTTTTTTTTTTTTTTTAAATACCATATACTAAGGTTATGTGATTTAGTTTGGATAAAAACAAAAGCCCTAACCGATTTGGCTCAGTGGATAGAGCGTCGGCCTGCAGACTGAAGGGTCCCAGGTTGGATTCTGGTCAAGGGCATATACATTGGTTGCAGGCACATCCCCAGTAGGGGGTGTGCATGAGGCAGCTGATCAATGTTTCTCTCTCATTGATGTTTCTAACTCTCTATCCCTCTCCCTTCCCCTCTGTAAAAAATCAATAAAATATATTAAAGAAAAAAAGAAACAAATATTTCAATATCCTATTAAAAACAACCACAACAACAACAACAAAACAAAAAAACATGAACCAGTACTCAAGACAGGTATAATCTAGCCCCAGCACTAACTAGTAGCTGCCACTCTAGACAAGACTTATAATCTTTTGGGCCTTGGTTAAAGCAGGATGAACCAGAATAGAGAGGCCTCGTAGGCACACGCCCATGCACTTCTCACGCCTGTGACAGTCACCACCAGTTCTTCAGATTGTGCTTGTTGTACAGGAAGGAAATCTAGTTGCCTCTCCAGGGTTAGATAATTCCTTAAATCCCTTCTAGCCCTAAACATTTTGGTTTCATAACTCTCTAATGCTGTGAGGCTTATAAATCAACTCTCTCACTAGCTGCTGACTTAAGTTAACCAGCATAAAACTTCCTATTAAATCTAATGCTAAAATGCAAAGATTCAGCTGCGCATTACTATCTAAAACAACACAAAAAACTACATTTTCTCAGCGCACTGAACAGAGCTGTCAACACGAGGGCTGGTCTGACCTACGAAAGCAGCCACACATCGACCTCACCAATGCAGGAGAGGGCGACAGACTTGGCAATGGGCCAGATTCACCACTGCCACGGGAACGCGGCTCTGTCCCACATCTGCCACTCGCGCTCACTACGGCAACCATCAGCCTCTCTGCTGTTTGCTTCTGAATCTCTCAGACTGTGGGATGACGACAGTGCAGTTATTTCTAAGTTTAAAAATAGTGGCAGCCTGCATTCCACACCGGAACATAATATGCAGTTTCATAATTGAAAGGAATGCTGACCTTGGCCCAGATAGGTTTTTTCTTTAAAAAACAAAAAAAACAAAACCCCACACATATGCTAACGTAAAAAAAATGTCTGGGATGCTGCTACCTGGATCACAAGGTTTTGTAAGTAGAAGCAGAACTCGCAGAAAGGTGCCGAGTGACTGCAATCAGCCCTACCTTCCACGTGCAAGTATGCCTCACAGATGCACCGCCCCCGGGAAAAGTACAGGGTCGAGGAGGATATGTGAGATTGGGCCTCCGGGAACGGCTCACAGTGTGACCCAGGGAGCGGGGCAGCAGGATGCTCGCCCTGCCCACACAGGCTACAAATAGTCTGGAGGCAAGCATGCTGGCAACAACAACAACTCAGGGACAGGCCACAGCTGCCGTGACCAGCGTGTCCACTCAGCACTGTGCACAGACTGGGGACAGTGACTGTAGATCAGACTCACCATATCCTTGCTGGTCAAAGCTTTGGGGTCATTTATGTTATTTTTCAGTAAGTTGCATGCGGACAACATCTTTTCACTTAATTCATACCTAAAAGGGGGGAAAAATAAAAAGAAAGAAGCTCACAATTGGCCATAAAAGGAAAGGCATTTTTATCTCAGACTCTGTAACACTTTAACAGACAAGAGGCCCCACGCTGAGCCAAGCTCATTGCTCGGTACAAGGTGCTTCCCTGGAGGTAGTCCAGGCGTCCCTAGCTGGCCAAGGGCTGATGCTATGATACAGAGCTAACGCCTCCAACCAGAGATCACGGCTTTTCATGAGAGTAGCTTTAGGCCTCATCAAGTTTGAATTGTATGACATTATTGTAGAAGAACATTTGGATATTTTTCACTCCTTTTGTTCTGAGATCTTAAAAGTATTTCTTGCCGACCGGTTTGGCTCAGTGGATAGAGCGTCGGCCTGCGGACTGAAGGGTCCCGGGTTCGATTCTGGTCAAGGGCATGTACCTGGGTTGCGGGCACATCTCCAGTGGGAGATGTGCAGGAGGCAGCTGGTCGATGTTTCTCTCTCATCGATGTTTCTGGCTCTCTATCTCTCTCCCTTCCTCTCTGTAAAAAATCAATAAAATATATATATTTTTTTTAAAAAGTATTTCTTATTCTTATGGGGTTGAAGAGGCCTGAATTACCACATATCCATTACACCGACCAGTAAACCACACGTCTGAACTCACATTTGGTGACCCAGGATGTGTTTGTTGAACCCACGTGAAGTGTAAACTTAAAAATCAGAGGACATATGATATATACATTATATCTCAATAAAGCTGTTAAAAAATCAGATGACAAGACATCGCGCCATTTGAAAATACTTGGACATATAAACTAAAAGTACTTACCTTGTCTTAATACAGTTAAGCTTTCACGTGCCAAATTTAAAAAAAGGCAAGCTTTCTAAAATGTTCTATTTATTGCATCACATAGTGAAAAACCACACTGAAATTTCCATCTGTTCATTCTCTCTTGTTTTATAGGCACTGACGCTGTATTTACTAAGTCTTTAAAATTTACTACATTTTATGTGCATGTTTCAGCCAACCAGTGTTTACTTGAGATTTCAGCTGCTGTTTATGATATTTCCAAAAACCATTCTTGTAGTGTTCCCAATCACTCAGTGCACAACCAAAAATAGACGTGTGACCGGTTACATCATCTTTACAGTAAATGTGATCTTTGGTTGAGGCCAAAAAACTGTCCCTCTCACACACAACGCTCCTGTGAGAACAGTACTGAGAAGTGTATCAAGATAAATGACTAGCCATAACCGGTTTGGCTCAGTGGATAGAGCGTTGGCCTGCGGACTGAGGGGTCCCAGGTTCGATTCCGGTCAAGGGCATGTACCTTGGTTGCGGGCACATCCCCAGTAGGAGGTATGCAGGAGGCAGCTGATTGATGTTTCTCTCTCATCGATGTTTCTAACTCTCTATCTCTCTCCCTTCCTCTCTGTAAAAAATCAATAAAATATATTTTTTTAAAAAAGATAAATGACTAATGGTAAAATCTAAAACCTTAAAAGAAATGTGCTGGACACAAAGCACTCTAACATGCCTTTAAATACAAGGCGAGTTGTTCAAACAATGGAAACCTTAGAGGCGCTAATAGCTCTGTGGATGGTGGCTCCAAGTACACCATTAGATGACAAATACTTAAAGTTGAAGGAAATAAAGGTGACCAAAAACATCAAGCCGTTCTCTTTGCTACTGTAAGAGATCTGAGAGTGATCACCTTCTTCTACACTGGTACTTATCAATATCACGACAAGATGTATGCATCTCTGAGGAACAGATCAAGTTTAGCTTTCCTTTGGAGATTGGAAAGACTAATAAACAAATGGATACAATTGCAAAATCTCCTAAACGGCCAACTCTATTGCCAAAGTACATTAAACGTGGGAGGGGTGAAGGGAGGGGAGGGGAATGTACCACACCTCTCTCTGATTTCCACCTTCTCAGGTTCACATTCTTGAACCTGCATTTCATCTTCCACCCTGGCGGACCTGCAACCTTCCACATCAACTGCATGGTGCCCTGCCGCCGTTCCCCGAGTGTCTTCGTCCTCCTCGTCCTCCTCCTCTTCCTCGGGAGGGTACTCAATGACATCACACTCATCCTCTGACTCGGAAGAAGAGCTTTCCTCTGAGCTGGAATCATCACTTGAAGTTGTCTCATACCTAGGTGGCAATCGGGAGTTCAGGAGATGCAAGGTGTGCCCATCAAGACCCAGTGACAGAAACGTCTATGAAGGGAACGCTGCGGACTGACTCCAGAAGTCTCACCAGTGTGTTTAGACCCTACACCAAGCATGTCAAACTTGCGACCGGTGGGCCGCATGCCTCGTTTATTTAACACGCTTGCCCTACACTGAGCAGTCCAAAGTAAGGTCTATTTAAAAGCCTGGTAGTTCTGAATAGGTTCTGACTTAAGAGGGATAACCTGCATTACCAACTGGTATCATATACCACTTGTAGGAAAAATGTTATATAAATATATATACACACACACACACACACACCAGAGGCCCGATGCACGAAATTCGTGCAAGGGGCTTCGGCCCTCGCAGCCCTGGCTTTGTCTGGAAGGTCGTTCGGAAGTCCTGTCTAATTAGCATATTACACTTTCATTATTATAGATAGAGAGCACCTCTTGCTTAGTATAAAACACAGGAAACTTTATCATATAAGAACTAGGTCTGCAGTTGTTCATTTTTTCTATCCTTTCAATATAGATTGATTTGATTTAATGGTCGGAAGACAAACAGGCTTAGCTATTTACTTGTGCCAATTAGAAGAGAAGAAACAAACTAGTAAACATTCTATTGAGAAAGCAAAGAGCTGACGGCAGGACTGGTTTGCTCTTCAGGGGCAAGGCCCTACAATTGTCTGCAAACATGGAGCGCCAAGCGAAAACAACCCATTTTGAAGGAGTGGGCGACTCTCGCTGGCCATGGAGTGACGCGCTCAGTCTCTTTCTGTTTGTGTCTGAGTTCAGATACGGGTAAGTACAAGGTGTCCAACAGTGCAGGAAACCTGCTGCTTTTGTTTGAAGACTATTCTTTTTTTTTCAGGTCAAAGGTGAGAAGATGGCTCAGCTTCATCAGGTTTCCTTTCAAGAGTGACATATCCTTAAAAGATAGCAAGAGGGGGAGAGGAGAGAAGCCCGAGTGCCCCCTTCTTAGGAGGGAGTGTTCCATCACCAAGACGCGGCGGCATCCCAGGCTGGGCGCCTTTGGATATAACTCCAGTAGGCAGGAGGCAAAGGAGACAGAAAGACCACGTATATGCTGGCACCACCATCTTTCCTTACCCTCCATTAATGCCAACAAACTGGAGATTCTTTTTCGCTCCATTCGAATCTCTGTTGCCATCTTTCTTCTTCATGATGGACTTCAGCGTACTTTCATTACTTGCACATACTGTGAAAACATAAATCAAGGCGATAAAAATTTACGTAACTCATACCCATACGAGTTTAGTGAATAGGTAATCTTTCTTCACATACATTTAGTTTTTCCCCCCTCATTCATGTACATACAGACCTTGGCATGTATATATGAGAAACCTGCACAACTCATTGGAAAACTGTGTGCATGCAAAAAAAATTCAAAGTTCCATTTAATAATGTTCTTTATGGAAAAGAAAAACCATTAGTACTTCCAGACATAACAAAAGCAGCGACAACTAGCGTGTGTATCAGACTTCACTGTTTATAAAGTGATGTCGTGTCTCATTTGATCTTCAAAAACCACTTCGGCACTAAAATAAGGGTTATTATTATAACTTTTCTTCAGCTGAAATAACCTGGGGAAAATATATGCCTTCCAGACTGTGAAAGAGTGAAACGCTATTTAAAATATTTTCTACTTCATAATATCAGGTGAGTTTTCTTAAAGGGACCACAGAGCTCTTTCTTGAGTAATCCTAAAGCTCTGCTAGGTCTGCCTCCAGGTGAGTTTATAAGGCACAGGGACATCAGGTTGGAACTCGGGCGCCGCTGGGAAGGACTGGGCGGGAGGAAGGTTACCGTAGAGGCCAGCAGCTATCTGGTCATCTGTCAGGTTCACTGCAGACAGCGTGCTTTCCTGAGCGGGGAAGGTGTCCTGGCTGCAGACGGGCTCTCCTTCTGTGAACCCCACCTCTTGTCCATGTCGGGATGTCTGCGTATTTAACGGTCCTCCTGACTGTAGGCCTCCACACCTACAGGTGTATTCCAAATTACTTCCTGTCAGGAAGGAGAAGGGTGGAGAAGTGTGTAATGCTGGAACCAAACAAAATGGGCTAAACGGTCGAAAAATAAAAAGATTCTTGCAACTCATCATTTTCTTAAGTGCTCCGCCCCCGTCCCCACCCCACCTCCCGCAATTTCTTTTTGCGTAGGTAGAACTATATCCAAGCCACCCACACTCAAACCCCCAAGGCCTTCTTGACTCTAAATCTTTTCCTTTGTTAGCGTATCCGAAGCTTGTCATTCTCTCTGCTCGGGCTGCTACACCTAGCCTTATGCTGGGCCACCAGCGTAGCTTCCTGACAGTCCATCTTCTCTCCCGCCCCCCCCCCCCC